GAATAGTGATATATGAACAGTAGTGTAAATAAATAGAATAATTCATAACCTAAGTTTAGTAATAATTTAATAGTGTTTAAAAGTTCTTCAATAATTAGTGTAAATAAATAGTTTTTGTCGTTATCAGTCTTAGAAGTTAATTTTTTTAAAACCACGAACATTACAATACGTTCATTTTCACAGATAATTTATTGCGGACTCGTCAAGTTCAAGGCCTTTCATGATTTCTTTTTAGATGAAAAATTACAAAATTACGAGCGAGCACTGTACTGTTCTACGTGGGATATAAGGTCGATAGAGGGAAATTCCCCCTTAATCTTATATTGAGTGAATTAATTTAAGTAGTGCAATAATTTTTGTTATCATTGCAATCAATTTTTGTTAAGGTATCGAAAAGCAATCTTTCACGTACGAGAAGAAACTGTGTACCTACTGTATGACCTTTGTAATGTTAATTGACTTAAGTATCTATTACACTGATAATTACTCGCCAGAATTACCCTTCGGTTTAATTTAAAAATAAAATATTTGTAGTTCTCTGCTAGCTGACTCGACCGCATGCTGCTGTGGCTAATTAGTTCTAATACGTTGAATGAATATTATGTTAAACATTTAAATACAGTCTAATTAATATTCACCAATAAAGAAAACCATTTTAGCTGATCTAAAAATCCACGGGAATAGGAATGGAACCTTAAGCCAAAATTTCAATAATCTATTTAAGTGGTAATTGGTGCATAATATTTTTAGTTAGCCCGTCTTTCGCTAACACAAATAGATTTCATGGTTTCTCACACGTGAGCAGGCGACATGTAATTAGTAGCCCATACTTGATGCTTACTCAACCTTTATAGCAAAATATTTTGAAATGAATGAAACACTGTCTGGCACAAAAATTAAAAAGTTGGACGGTATAAAGCATAAATTTTGCTTAACTTTAATTTTCTCTATTTCGAAGATAATAATTGCTTGCATTAAGGAGGTTCGAGTTAGGAAAGTTTAACTGTATTTTAATAAATTTCTTTTAATAAATATTTGACTTGATAGGCAAGGATTTTTTAACGAAATGAACTTGTACTTATATAAACATGTTGAAGTGTACAACACAGGACAAATGCCTGAAGCCCATATGCCTTGTTTTGATCGATTTAACATGATTTGGTGTGAGATATGATTATGATTATAAATTGATTAAATATTTCACATTAAGAAACCTCCCATTATTAGTATGTATCACCTCTGTGTGTTTGTTTGCCTAATTGTTACCTATTTTATAGAAGCTGCTAATTAATTANAACTTTTCCCGCAAAAGGAATTCGAAAAGGTTCCGTACAAAACACTCCCAGCTTTGATAAAGATAACAACGAAGTGTTAACTGCTAATGATAATTCAATAGGTAGTTCAGGTGGAATAACAGACGTTATAATTAACGTGCACTCTAGAAATAATTTATATTGCTTTATATCCCTACTGCTCCTTCCGTCCTGACTTATCTGACTTCCTAGATATCTAAAATCAGCCACTTCTTCTAATTTTTCGTCTCCTATCGTTATATTCGCTCTTTCCCTACTTTTTCTTCCCTTGCATACCAGTATTTTAGTTTTACTTTTATTTGTTTTTATACAGTACTGTAGTGTAATGTATGCAATTAAAATTATGATTTAAATTATAATATTTAAACGTAAACTTTGAAAAACATATATCAATCGAAAGGTACTGTACTCATATGAGTATGTATTTAAAAGAGAATAACCCTGAATACCCGTGTGGAATGCGAGGAATAATTTTATTCAAAACATCCCTGTCATGTGGACAGAGCCACGATTAACTTTTTCGATGTTTTTGAATTTTCTGCTGTAGACACAATTTAATATAATTCACGGCTACATGCACGCAATATTCACAAAATAATCGTCAACAAAAACTCGAAAAAAATTCAAGAAACTACGTCATGTACAGGCACCTAGGGCGCCAGTACGCCAGTCGCTAGTCGTCTCTTTTTTAAATATATAGTTATCAGAAAATATCTACGATATTACCGATAAGGGTAATTTTATACTTTCGCGGTCCCCTCGTTTTTTGGCTCTAGCAAATCGAAAAATCATCCGATTTCGATGAATTTTTTTTTAAAATCTTTGTTTTTACGGCGGATTTATGAAAAAAAATATGGAAATAAAAAAAAATGAAAACTTATATTGGTTTCATGGCTTTAAATGTTCATGAAAATGCACTCATTCATGTATAATTGTTGATAACTTTTTTCCAAGTAATCAAATGAAGTTGTTATTTTTTTTTCATAATCTACACAAAAAAACGAACAAATAAAAAAAAAATATATAAAAATGTTGATTTATCATGTTTTTACAATTAAAAATAATAACAATTTTTCTTAAAATTGACCTTTCAATAAACAAACATTTTTTAATTTTTCTTTTTCCAAAATGTTCGTTTTTTTATGTAGATCAACAAAAAAAAATATATGAACTGCGTTTGATGCTTTGTAAGAAAGTTATAAACGATTATATGCGAAGAACTGCGTTTATGATCACATTTGAATTCATAAAACTATATGAAATCTCCAGGTGAGATATTTTCATATTTTTTTTCATAAATCCGCCGTAAAAACAAACATTTTAAAAAAAATGATTTTTCGATTTTCTAGAGCCAAAAAACGAGGGGACCGCGAAAGTATAAAATTACCCCGATAAGTTATCTTTTGTCCAAAAAAGTAGAGATAGGAGTAGAAAGTACATGACTCGTTCAATGTACGGCGCAAGCCTTATAGCGTCGTAAGTTGTTCACTGCGCAGTAAGGCAAGGCTCATTTGATTTGCCGCGTGTAAAGAGATTTTGTTTGAAAATACAGAAATCGATGCGCGGTCGCTCATCGCGCAGCGTTCAAACGCGCTTTCTATCCTTTATTGGCGACAATGATTTTTAGATTCACTCGCTTGGCGTTAAGTTTTTGCTCCTATATCTTGCTTTTATCTTTAAAATTATTTAAGATTCTGCGTGAAAGTACTTAGCGTTAAATAAATGCATGTAGATAAATAAGTATAGAAACAATGTTAACATACCATTCGGTTTATAGGAAGATAGTTGATCAAGTATTACAGAATTTTCTAATTGTACGGTACACGCATATTCCCGTAATTTCTTCGCTTCAGAGCCTACAGGATTTTCGGTAATAATAGTACGCGAGGTTAAAGAAGCAACAACAGATCGATTAAAACTTGACCAATCTATTTTCATTTCCGTCATAAAAAGAACCGTCGAACGTGGTTTCCAAGACGAAGCTCTAAATAATGAACTTTTTTATTAATGACACATTATTTATAAAAAATAAAATTCATGGTACCTAGCTATCATTTCTGGATCCCATAAAGTAATTTTTAAACCAGGGTGAGTATGATCTAAAATAACCACATCACGAACTTGCTGCTCATTTCCCACTTTCGTTGTAATTATTCTAATTGGGCCTACCGTTCGGATTGCTCCAAGAAGATCAACAAAACCTAAATGTAGAAAAAAAAGTTTTATATGAAAAGTTATATCGCATTGTTAGAAGAGCATACGTATATAAAAAAAATAAAAATTAATTAAGCATTAAATCATTTATTTACCTATTATTGACACGTTTTTCGTTCAACGCAAATTATAATATTTGTTAGTAATTAGTATTAGCTTTTTTGCTCTAGAAAGGGCCTAGTTTACTGACAATAATAATAATAAACATTGTGTGGTTTTATGAAACCACGACGCAAGTGAAACTTTTCGGATTGTAAGCATTTAACTGTAAGTTTTCGGAAAATTACTAGATTTAGGGTATTAAAATTTAAAATCGCGTTTTTAATCTTATCTTAATTATTGGAAAATGGGAATGATAATGGGAAACCAATAGTAGACAAGATGTCCAACTTTTAATTTCAATCTGCATATGAAAGTACGGAATACATAATAAATACAATCATTCAGACGATAGACACATGTTAAAAACTGAGAACAATATTTATTTAAATCATTGAATCATTTTCAACTTCAGTTATTCTATCAATAATTTCATCTTCGCTTTGAGATTCACAGTCTATAAAAATAATTGTCATGCACTTGCACGAATGAGTGAGAATATAAATGCTACACGGTTAGCTTAGGCGAGCCATGTGCGCCGCCATATTGGCCTTGGCTGCTTTGCCGAGTGACTTTCAATTTTACCCCTACTCCGCGGCCGGCTGTAATGCGACATGCGATAGATGGACGAAAAAATTTGAGGCGACGTAATAAAAGTTTCACTAATAATAACAATAATATATTTATGAAACTGAGAGGACTGATAAATGATAATAAATAGACAAGAAGTACTGTTAGCTCTATAAAATTTAAGAACAGAAAATTGGTTTCCAAATCGTATCTCAAAAGATGTGAGTGAGGTTCTTTGGATGCTCAAAGTTAACCAGTGAAAACTGAGAAGACCGGGAAATAATAAAAATAATAATAATGAAAACTTACTTGCAATACCTCCCCCACTATTGTGCACATCTATTAAGTTGATAACTCCTACTATGGGTTTTGTTGGATGTCGTAAAAGTGTACTATAATAGTCGTAATTGTTTGTTTCATGTTTTGCCATGCTAGGTACATTAATAGTTAAATGGAAGGGCGAAGTAACCATAGGGCAGTACTGTTCTTTAATATCTCCAACTTTACGCACATCAATTCGTGGTTTAGTAATTTCAACTGTAAAGTATTGCAAAAGTAATTGAGTGCTAGAAAATTTAGTCAACTATGTACTTACTGACATCTCCCGTATGATACTTATCATACGTTTCTATAATTTCATTGGCATCTCCCCAGCATGTGACATTAATATAATCGACAATCGAATCTCTTATCGTAAAATTCCATACTCCCCTTTCTTTAAAAGTATCTTTATTATCGACAAATCTTCTCAACCTTTGTTTAGCTATTATGATACCAACGACTATTGCATTCGTTATAATTGGCGAAAGTTCTTTAATTGTTGCTCTTTGTAAACTGATATTAGTTTGATCCATGGTTTATCGCAGCTTATTTCTAGTATTTTAACTTCATGCATTCGAGTGAAACATAAGAATGCTTTAGATCTAACGAATTTGACATCTCTACTAAATATAAATCTAAACAATTTATAAAACAATAGCGACAATGACCAAAGGATACTGCGATTGCACTTAACTGCAATAAGTATAGCATATATAACTATCATAATAAGTATTTATTGTATCACCATCGATACAATATTCTTAAAGTACATAAATTTACTAATAGAGCATTATAAAATTAAAAAAAAAACTATACTCCGAAATTTACAAAAAAACTTCTGGCTAAACGAAAAATTTTAACCGAAATGGTCTTTCATAATCTTAATTCGTGTTGTTTAAAACAAGTATATGTATANACAAAAAATATTCGATTTATTTCAAGTAGCAATTCTCTATTATCATATTCATGGTAAACCAATGAAAATGATTGCTCAAAAATACTCGATTTATTTTAAGTAACAATTCTCTATTATCATATACATGGTGTACCAATGAAAATGATTGCTCAATAATTCGATTTCATAAGAAAGCGTAAGATACAATAACTACATAAATTACTAGCTCTCTTTTCCGCATTTTCAAGATGATTTTTAAGTTAGCCACTTTTAAATAATAATAAACTATTCGCAACGTATTTTACACCTTTGTTTATATTTTAGAATGTTGTATACTTACACATTTACGTATAGAGCTGAAAGTATTTCATACATCAGCATGGCTCAAAAAATAATATGGTCATTGTAGTCGTCAAAGTATGAGCTTAACCGAAATTTTTTTCTAACAAAACTTGTATTTTAATGCAAAATTGCCTGTAACATCTAAATTTAATTTATTACACAGACTGTTCAAAAATAGAAAAAAGTAGGTTTCGATTAAATGATAGCACTGTTAAATATGTGTCCAATCGAAAAAAATTATAAGAGAAAGTTTTAAAAATGCTAAAATATGAGGCCATGCAAAAAAATTACGGCGATATTCAAATGCTTGTTCTTCATGTCAAGTGAACCAGTTTGTAATATTCTCATTTTGGCTAAAAAGTTAATCAAAAACTCTTTCGAACAGACTTGTTCTTTATTTTAATACAAGATCGTCTGTAACATCTATATTTAATTTGTTCATCTATCCATACACATACTTTTGNTAAAACAGAGTAATTGTTAATAAACTCTACAGTAATATACATTCTTAGTAATACAGTGTACAATAAATATGTTAATATATAACATTAGAAAAAAAGAGTAATGAGTATAACAATACTTTCTAAGCTTAAAAACATGAAAAAAGAACATATTATAGCATATAAATGACTTACTTAAAATATCATTAAATACCTTTTTGCAAGTTAATAAACTGCGTATGTGAACAGACCAGTGGCAACCAAGACAGCAGAGAATTTGTAGACATGCAATGATCGCTAGACTTACAAAAGCATCTTCTTGATTCTCCCAAAAATTTAATAATACACACCACCAATATAACCAAAGTATGTAAATAAAAATAAATGGAAAGATATATCCATGAAAAAATGTTTTTCTGCAAGTATAAAGAGTGACAGACTGCACTAAATCGTCCACTTTAGGTGTAACAGTCCTATTAAACAATTTAACTATTGTTAATAACCCAATAGCATAATTATAATAATCTTAACCTACCTTATTAGATAATTGAGGAACATAGAAACGACAGGGAACCATTACAGGGCCACTGAAGACGGTAAGCCGCCTCACCACCCTGTCTCTTGAGATTAATCAAAAAAACAATCGAAATTTCATTGAACATTTCGCCACTTTATCGTAGATTCCTTAGCAACTCTCCTCTCGTCATAGCACTTTTTTTACATCAGTACATTTTTTGTTAGTTTATTAATAACTGTAATGGGTTTGTTATTTATTTTATTTAATTAAATTACAGAAAAAAGGAAATTTAAAAGATGGAATGAATCAATTAAATATATAGTTTCAAATGAGATATCAATTAAATAGTAAAACAGGGCAATATTAAGAAAGTCAAACTCTGCAATATGTTTTTCATCATCATACATTATTTTTTTATTTCACCCAATGCCATTAATAATAAAAAAAAATGTATAATATACACTAGTCTTTGCAGAACAACCTCACTCTGTTCTATGGACCATAAAATATTGTTTAATTTACAATTTAAATGAATAATAATTGTAAAAAAAGACCGAGGAATTACACAATAAATAACTTGTTCTTTCATCTACATCTTTGTACATGTTACAAAAATTCCATTTATAGTAGTTAAGTGAATGCTAATTTGCAACCAATTCTTCTTTTAATTCTCCCTCACCACACAGCCTTAAACATATTCTATCGACGAGGAAGGAGAAGAAAAAATCAGCAAACAGGACTTGAAGCAACACTATCCTGAACTGAAACAAACATTTTATATTCAATCCTGTTCCTAAGATTTAAGGCTCGTATATTATTCTCAAAAGTTAATAATTATTACAAAAGAAACGAGTCTCATGCACACGCGTTAGAAGTTACGCACATATAAATTAAGCCGGCATGAACATAACGATGGTTATGTATTTATTTAAATCGTTTTCGATTACGTGTTTAAATAATATCACTGTGCAGTGTTGCTTGTAAAAAAACTCGCTCCAATCAACGAATAGCAACCACCGTTGAAAAAAAATACCGCACTCGAATTGACCTCGTGCTTGCTAACACAGCTTCGCTACTAATTCCATACTATCGGATGTTCATTAACTGTGCGCACGCAAGTTCCGTTGCATACTAATATTTTACTTTTAACACGCCAAAAGAAGTATAACGTTAAAAATAGAATAAATTCGATTGATTTATCTTATAAGAATATATACTAACATCGTGCGGAAAATCAATTAACTCAAACTGAACAGCTAACTCTGGAAAAGCTCCAAGTGTGAGTGCCAATACTACACCAGAAGATCCAATAATACTGTAAACCAATGCGGTGTTTTCACGTAAACTTTCCATATACGGATATCCCTTTAAAATAAACAATATCACATATTTGACATGAGTAAATGTTAAAAGTATACTTACTCTATAATTAATAGCAAATGTTGCAATCTGTAATGCCATAGAGATAATGTAAACAGTACTGTTAACGATATTGGGTTCAAAATGTTCTTCTTCGTCTTCTTCTAAAGATAATTTTATTTTTGTTGTATTAGTAGCATCACTAAAATGTAAAGTACAGAAATTCTATAATTAATGTGATATTCAAAACTTACCTTTCAGGAATACGTAATTTTGCTTGATGAACTAAATAAATTAGACAAGTAAAGTGAACGGAAAATTGCAAAATTACGGTCAATATAGTATACAAACTGAAAATATTCGGAAGAGGTCTCTGCTTGGACAATGTTTTTAATGGCTGGAAACAAAAAATATTCGATTTATTTCAAGTAGCAATTCTCTATTATCATATTCATGGTAAACCAATGAAAATGATTGCTCAAAAATACTCGATTTATTTTAAGTAACAATTCTCTATTATCATATTCATGGTAAACCAATGAAAATGATTGCTCAAAAATACTCGATTTATTTTAAGTAACAATTCTCTATTATCATATACATGGTGTACCAATGAAAATGATTGCTCAATAATTCGATTTCATAAGAAAGTCTTATAATTAATTACCTTTGATCTGGAAATAAAGAGAAAGCATGCTGCCAAAAGAATACCTTGAAGAGTTGCCTGTACATCTCTAAGTTTAATTCCATCTAAATACAGTACAGATTGAGTATAAGCCAAAATTAGAGCATTTAAAGCTAAAATCTTGAACATTTGCAAAGTTGTTACCAAAGTGCATCTTCCTTGTTTTATAATATGACACACTGAAAATAGTTAACCAGTAGAATCTAATAAACAATTCGGCATTTGTAAAATAAAAATTGATTTACTTCAATGCATTCAAAAAAATCTTACCACATGTAATTGTTGATAATTTGCTAGTGAAAGGTGATGCTATACTTGCATCGCCTAATTTAACTACCTGTACCTGCTCTTGTTCTTCAATTTCTTTCATTATCTTTTGTAAATTCGACTGAACAGTACTTAAACTGTTTTCCATATTTTTTATGGAATGGTTGGATCTATTACGAGGTGCAGGCATTTCTCTTAATCGTCTTTCTTTTTCTTTTTCTCGTTCTAATCTCTCTTTAACGTCTTTTCGTTCTGGTAGTCTTTCAGGTGCATTGGCAAGAATTGCAACACCTACATCAGCATGTTTAAGAGCTCCAACGTCATTAGTACCATCACCACACATAAGAGTTACATACCCTAACGATTTAAGTGTAAGGATTACTTGCTCTTTTTGTTTAGGAGCAAAACGAGCAAATACAGTTATGTGGGGCATCATTTTCAAGAGAAGTTCACTATTATTTTCTTGAAAATATATTAAAGAATCACCAGTGATGCAAAGGCTATAATTTTTAACTAACACTTTCAAATCAGTTGATAAAGGAAACGATCTAGTTTCATCAATCGAGGTCCATTTCTTATTTTCTTCTGAAAACAAGAGTATTGGTTTTGAACAGAACTTTAGTTCTTTTGCAACATGACAAGCGGTTAATGGATTATCTCCGGTTATCATACTAACTCTATGAGATGCGTTTAGTAATTCCTTTATCACACTCTTGGAGTCAGCCTTCAGAGGACAAGAAATTATTACAAATCCTCCAAATAAGAGATCCTTTTCGATGTCATCTCTAGCTAAATTTCTAACTTCTTGAGGACTGATTTTACCTAATTTTTTCCACCCTAGGGCAAGGACCCTTGCACCCCTTCTACTCAGTTCTAAATAAACTTTATCGTAAATATCTGGAATATCCACCAACATGGTTTTTATAGTTTCAGGTGCACCTTTAGCTGTTGCAATATAAATTGTTTCAGTCGATCCAACTTGATTGAAACCCGCAATAACCGACATTCTTTTTAAAGCAGAAGAAAAATGGAATCTGTGAAAAATTTTTAATCCAGGAGATTTCCCTTTTTTAGGAATAACTGCATCTGCTTTTGTGAGATTCCAGTCAACAGCAGTTAATGTTGCTTTTTCTAGTGGATCACCAACCAATCCATCATCCACATGTGCCAGAGAATGGCAAGTTGCTAGAATAAATGTCGATTCCAAAGGAATATCGGAAATTGGTGTAATTTTAGAATTCTCTTTTGCTAAAGCAACACCCTCAACAATTAAGCTATCACTGGTAAGCGTTCCTGTTTTATCGAAGCAACATATTTCAACTTTTCCCGCAAAAGGAATTCGAAAAGGTTCCGTACAAAACACTCCCAGCTTTGATAAAGATAACAACGAAGTGTTAACTGCTAATGATAATTCAATAGGTAGTTCAGGTGGAATAACAGACGTTATAATTAACGTGCACTCTAGAAATAATTTATATCTGTTTCTTTCAGGATCTTCACTACCCTTAATCCAGACATAGACGGCAGCTGCTACTGCAAAAATTAGTAGGAACGAAATAAATCCGAACGTTTCTAGGTTATTTGCAGTAACTCTCTTGACTCCAAATAAAATAGTTCTTAACAATTTTCCTTGTGAAGTATTAAAACCAGTTCTCAAAACGTAACCAACACAACCATTATCTTGAGCACGTAAGCCTGAAATGGCTTTGGTAGGAGCAGTTTGTTGGACAACTTTTGTCCCACCAAAAAGAACATGAAGCTTTCCATCAGCTTCTGGGTCTAATATTGTTTTTGAATCAAAATTTTCAACTGGTTCTTTCATTTGAGGTACTGACTCGCCTAAAAAAATAATACATGAAAAATTAATAAACAAAACGAATAACATCTAATTAAATAAACTTTTGTGCGTTAAGTTTTTCAATTTATTGTTACTCAATTATTCCGTTAAACTAAAATGTTAAAAGTAGTTAATTTTTTTAATGTAGTTGACAATTTCTTTTATACAATGGAATTTCTACAAATTAATTGATATTTTGGCGTTAGAAAGTGAGCTACAAAACACTTAGCGTAATGTAAATGTTATATCTTAAAACGATCTTTTGCTCGCGACTTCGTTGGCGTGAAATAAACCTATAATACGCAATTCGATGGACATTCTAAGAGCATCAGGACATTCCTGCTTATAAAGTGCAGCCGTCATGAAACCTTCTATGTCCTCTCCCTGCACCGCAAACACATAATTAAAGGCACAGAGGGAGGCAAAGGTACGGAAATAAGCAGGCAGTATGGTTAGTGAGACAACAGGATTTAAAATAATAGCAATAGTAGTAGCCACAACTGTCCTAACTATTACTTGGATACTTGGTAATTACAATAATTAACTAAATAATCAATGTATGTAATATTTTGATTTGCTATGAATTAACAAAATTTTAATGTGGTAGTGTGAAGAGTACTGCCAATATTGACTAAACATTTCCTCTAACGATTGGTAGAAACTCAACAGTGTCAGAAAAAGTACAACAATGCTTTAAAAAGGGAAAAATCCCGAAAACACAGGATTGTAATGAATTGTAATTGTAATTGTAAAAACAGAAAAATTACTAGTAAGATATAAAAAGTTTTAATAATTATGTACCCGAAAATAAGCTAGCATTATAAATGTTAAAGCAGTTGCAATTATTATTACAAATACTTTTATAAACGAGCAAAAGAAGATTTACAATACTAATTTGCACCATTACAACAGAAATAATAATTGTGGCTAAATTCTTAACGAGGAATATTGAAATTAAAAAACTCTAGTTATCTAATTATGGCAATATATCGTCATCTACTGATATCCGCTACTAACTAAAGTATTTCATGTTAAACAAGGTCATAGCAAAATATCTACTGCTCAGGAACTTCTACTGTTCTTATTAAAACTGGAAGAAATCAGAACTATCAGTTAATTTTTTAGACCGTAAAGCAAACATAGATCATTTCTATACAATGATGAATTAATACTATGTAGTACATAATAAATAAAAGAAAAATTGCATAATTGCGACATGACATTTTCACATTCGTTTCAATTTTCTCATAAAATTGTTAATATATTTAATGATTATTAGAGTGAATAGCAAAAAGCATCCCAACATGACATTAAAAACAAATTTAATGAGTTAGATGTAGCTATGATACAAAGAATAGTTAAGTATCATGGTCAACTTTTCATTTAGCCAACTGAGATACAAACGGTATAGGCAATAATACAATCGTTTCAAGGATTTGAAGCATTAAAAAATCACCATATATCCGAATTTGTTATCGTTAGAGCATTTTAGCATTAGTCTTGATGGAAAATTTTGCAGGACCATGAATGACTAACGTCATATCAGAGTTATCGTTATAACCGATATCGCTACATGGTAGTTGTTGTTATAACCGATGTCATTATGACCGAGTTCCGCGGTATATTATGTGTTAGAAAATTAAACGCTTTTAAATATTTACCTGTTAATAAGCTTTCATCAACGATACAAGAACCTCTGAGTAATAAAATATCACAAGGAACAAGGTTATCATTTTGAGATCTTGTAATTGAAACAATATCTCCAGGAATAAGTTGATCAGTAGGTAACATTCGCCATCTTCTATTCCTATATACATATATGTTATATGGTTTGTTTCCCATTTTAAGAATTTCAGACATATTTCTAAGCTGTTGCTGAACTAATGTGCACTCAAACAAGACTAACATAACCAGGGTAAAAATTGAATAGTACCAGTATTTATCTAAACACCATAGTGCTACACAAAAAACTTGAAATACAAAAAAAGGAGCTAAGGCTCTTTCTTTGAACAATTCTACAAATTCTGGTATGACCATATCCAAATGGTTTGTCCCATATAATTGCTCAACCTGCTGTATATCAACATTTTCTTGATAACCTTTCCAGTTTACATATTCATTAAACGATTTATTAATTGGAAATTCAAGTCCTTTAAATGTCTTTCGGTTAGTGCACCAAATATATTTGGTTTTTTGGAATATAAACCATATATGATCAACTGTATCACCATTCTAAAAAAATAATTTTGTTACAAATAATAAAACATATCATGTTTTTACTTACTTTATTATTATGTAAATATACTAACTCAGAAGATCCATTGTTAGGAGTTGGTATTACTTTAACTACAGTTGCTTTTAAAGGATTCTGTTCCTAAATATAAAACAGAGTAATTGTTAATAAACTCTACAGTAATATACATTCTTAGTAATACAGTGTACAATAAATATGTTAATATATAACATTAGAAAAAAAGAGTAATGAGTATAACAATACTTTCTAAGCTTAAAAACATGAAAAAAGAACATATTATAGCATATAAATGACTTACTTAAAATATCATTAAATACCTTTTTGCAAGTTAATAAACTGCGTATGTGAACAGACCAGTGGCAACCAAGACAGCAGAGAATTTGTAGACATGCAATGATCGCTAGACTTACAAAAGCATCTTCTTGATTCTCCCAAAAATTTAATAATACACACCACCAATATAACCAAAGTATGTAAATAAAAATAAATGGAAAGATATATCCATGAAAAAATGTTTTTCTGCAAGTATAAAGAGTGACAGACTGCACTAAATCGTCCACTTTAGGTGTAACAGTCATTCTTAATTCCCAATCACGACTGTAATTCAGCAGATGTTACTTGCAGTTACTTCAAATTTCAATGTCTTGGTTAGGAACGTTATAAGTATTACAAGTATTCAATAAATTCCTACAACATGAAATGTGTTGCACTATAAAAAGCCAATACTTTACCAGTAGTTACATTAATTTAACCATAAGGTACATTTTCTAAGTCCAAGATATATTTTTCAGAGTACAGAAATCACAGTAAGCTGCATATCTTCTTTTTAATTACCCGCTGACTTTTCACTCACCTGTCACCTTCTGACAAAATTATTATTGGTTAACTGGCGTCTGTAAGGAGCAGAGAAGCAGTCAAAACGAACTTTGCCAAATATGCTCGAGTCATAGAAAAAGTTCTTTATCTGTGGAACTATCAATTAATATACTATGATTAATGTAATAGTCTATGATCATAGCCTACGGTCATATATGGTAATAGCCATAGCTACCCTTTGTAGATCTATTATCTATGGCCAAATAACAGCTATCTATGGCAATAGCACAGTTCAGTTGTAGTTGTCAGTAATATTATTTATTGTTCGTTAATAATTTAATCGTGTATACGAGTGTATACTAAATATAATCAAAACGGAATTTAGACTGCACATAGTACATAATATTTTTATCTGTTACAACTCCATGAACAAAAAAGATAATTTAATGAAACTATGGAACAAGTAGAAAGTATGTGGCCTTACATTCCACAACCGGTTTTATATAATATATTTTCGTACTTAAACTATAAGGATTTAATAAGGGCTGGAGAAGTGTGCCACTTGTGGTATATTGCTAGTCGTGATGATTTTCTTTGGAAGAGAATATTTTTCCAAAATTTTAAAATAGAGCGGTCAGTACCTCCCATAAGTGGTGAGTACTTGGTAATGATGGTTTTAATTAGTATTAATTCATATATATATTAGGTAAAACATGGTTGGAAGAGTTTAAGCGTTTGTGTTATCATATTCCAATTGTGCAAACGGAAACCCTTACTGATCATATGCATCAAGTATTACATGTCAGTTTTTCACATAATGGGAAATATTTTGCTACATGTTCTAAAGATGGGTATATATTGGTAATTTACTATAATTATTTAATAAACAGTATTTGTCAATGCTAACATTTAAGGTATGGAATTCTACATATCCAGCAAGAATTAAGTATTTTAAAGATATGAAAAAGTTTTGTTGGAAATACACACAGTATTCTCAGTTTAATGAATCAGATACATTGTTATTAGTGTCTGGAGTACATTTTGGATCACCTCATAGTACATCTGGAGAAATTGCAGTCTTCAGTTTGCAAGGTAGCAACAAATTTTGTATAGTGTACAATCTCGATACCCTGAACAGTTTGGGACTACTGTCGATTCAGACATACTTGTAAGGTATTTCAGTAAATGTATTTTTTGAAATACATCTTTTTAAGACTTATTTCAAGCCGTATTTCAATTTGATCAAAAAATATTTAAATGATCAATTAAATACATTTAAATGATCAAATAACTACAGCAGTCAATTTAATTTCTTTTGAGTTTTGTGTTTGTATTGTCTTCTAAAAGGATAAAATTGTTTTGCATTCATATTAAAATATGTAATGAAAGGGCCACAATGGTATTTGTTACCAGGATCGATTCAGATAATCACAAGGCCTAGAACAGCCAAGTTTTCATAACAGGCAAATTTTATTTGTAAATGAACATCAGCAATTACAGTTGATAAGGAAAGAGTACACTTTGTGTAGGAAAAAATTGTTAATTATTTGAGTAAAAATGGAATTTGGAAATAAAAAAACTTATTTAGTTAGTAAAAAGAAAAGTATATGTTCACCAGTATTAAAAAAATAAAAATTATGTGTCTTTCATTAGAATACAATATCAAATCAGCCTTTTTCACAATTTTCTGCAAAAATACCGGTAATGTTTGGACTATACATCCTAATGTCATTACTTTTGCCTGGTAGGAGGAGTGGGGGACGCTAGCCAGCCGCTCATATTCAAAATACCGAAGTTATTTTTTTTGGTATAGTTCCGTTAAAGTTATGGTTGGACAGACTTTTTTTTACTGAACTTAGCCCGTTTTTTTGATTCGACCATCATTAGATTGCAATATTCTCATTTGCAAGGAAAAATAGGAATATGAAATACAATGTGAATGAATGCACGTTTAGGTTAATATTATTGGTCACTTGAATTCGCCTGTGTCAGTTTTCTCCATAAATTCACCATATTGTTTAGATCAAGAGCATCGCAAAGGTCTTTTTCGCTTTTTATCATCATTAAGATATCAAGTATCTCCTCTTTAATGATGGACCTGGTCAAATTTTTAACTATTTTCGTTTCCTTGCACAAGATTTTGGTTGCTTTTTCTACAATGAATATATTACTTGAGATATCGTAGTTAGTTTGCATATTAGTGGGAGGACCACGTATTCCGAACCACCTAAACTTTTAAATTTCGAAAAATAAGTGTTCAAGACAGTTGATACTTGCAGGTCTGGTAGTTGTTGATATTACCTGCAAATTGAGTTGATTGTAAAATTGAGGAAGTTACAGATAAAGAACCGACAGCGTTTTTCAATGAAATCATTGAAGTATGTACATTACACTAAACTTTTCGTAGTTCTTACTGACTATCTCTTGGTAGTTGTTATAGATTTAGACGTTATAATAAAATAGAAAAATTATTATTGACAAAGAGGGAATTTTAATTCATCATAAATGCACTGGATTATAATATTTTCTTTATACTTTCGAATACATATAAGCTAGGGTCAGCGTCTGATCCTTCAGCAGGTTGGACCAAAATTAAAAAATTAGTAGGATTTGTTATAATTTTAAAGACTGTTCCTCTCAGTGATACATATTATCATAGCTCAATTTTTCATCTCTTCTTAACGCATTCATTTTTAAGTTCCTAGCGCGCAAGTATTGTAGGTCATATTTGTGTCAATGAATAAGGAAGTGTATCCTCTTACAATTAGCTGCACTTCCGTTGGTCATTGTTTAATAAGAATTTATATTCAGGTTTTTAGTTTTGAAGATTATAATTGTGCTAAAGCTAATTTCCAAAAGTTATTGCTAAGAATGTTGATTAAATGCAAATTAACAATGCTATTTATACTTACTTGATTGAACTCCTATTACGTTGCAGATAATAAGTCAATCTAAGAGTTATTTCTAATTATTAAGAATAGTAAATTGTTCGGATGAACGCGTATTCTAATTATTGAGATTGTACTGCAGTTATATGTAATATGTTAACAATAAAATTTCCATTTTGATAGTATAATTTTTGAAATTTATTTTATAGCTGGCTTTGAGTTGCAATGCCGGGTAGTGAATAAGCCGTATGATATTTTTGGAACATGGTATAGTGATCAACACCTCTTATCAGGCGACTTGCGTTGGTTGGCCCATTTAGTTAGTACGTCTTTCTTGTGGTTAAATAAAGCTTCACAAGAAACAAGTTCCGAGCATGTACCTATTACCCAGAATTTGTTTCGATTTTATAATAGAAATGCTAGTTCTATTAGAGCTATTATGGTATCTAACTGTCTTCCTAATTCTGAAAGGGCTGCTGGTGGTTCAGAAGACCTAAATGATGAAATTCTGTTGAAAGAAAATATTGTGGAACATGGAAATCCTGTTAGTCATCGTGATATAAATGTTCTTACCAATCAACCAACTACAACAAGAAATCAAGGTATCTGCTAAAATAGCAGGTATTTAAATAATAAAAAAATCATGACGAATAGTATTACGTATAAATGAGTGCAACAGTACTATTGTTGTTATCCTTTTGGTATATTAATTGTCAATATTTGGCAATCAACAGGAGGCATAATAACATGATAAATTACATAAATTTAAATTAATTTCAAAGTTAGTGCTCTGTGATATTTAAAGGACTGTTTTACTGTATTTTATTTTCGGTATCTAATTTCTTTTAAAACAAATCAAAATATATCTGTAAATCTTATAAAGGATGCTTTACAAAGGAGGTTATTCATATATTTTTTATTGTTAATAAAATCCTAATGGCTTGTGGGGTTCAAAAATTATTACAAAATTTGTGAATGTTATTGAGGGAAAACAACGCTATTTTTTTTTTTTTCAATTTTTAGAGAATATTAGAAGGTGATTTCAAAAGTACAAACGTATGTTAACAATTAGACAATCGTGAAATATTGAATTTTAACTTAATCTGTCCGAGTATTTCAATGTGAATGCGTAAAATAGTATATTACGTACCAATGGAAGGCTATTACAGACTACGATAGCAAACACGTACTGTGTGATAGCCTACATTTTCAAGGTGTGTGCACTGTTTTTTGTCACATTTCTGTACTATTACAATTACGGTATAAACTGATAATTATGTTACGTCTGGCAATAGTGATTACATGATCACTTTAAGTTTCTGTTAAGACACATACTTAAGAATCGTGTGCGTGCGGTTTTTAGTTCCGTACTTTAGAGAAAAGGAAAATCAACTTTCTAATATGATGTGACAAAGAAAAAGTATTTGCGTCGACTTGGACAAAATGCCAAACCGACAGGAAAATGGGCTAAATTGAGATGTAAAACATTGAAGTAATAGTAATAATGTTTTGGATGTTTAATGCACATAAACAATGCTTTTGATTGCGAGAAATATTGAGTTCAGTGCTACGAAGCGTAACCTAGACAGATTAAATGAAATTAGGTATTGATTACTTCTTCGCCTTAAGATTCGTTTTGTTTTTTCCTGTTAGCTACTTTTTCAAAATTATTGCTGTTATTTTTCTGCCCAACAATGTTACTAAGGCATCTGTATCTAAACGAGTTTGTTTTGATGTTTAAAACCTTTGAGAAGCCCAATTTAAATCAAATTAGCTTTCATGTTAAAAGGCATTTTCTCTATGTTACCTTAGTTGCTTAAATAATATTAAAAGAGTAAAAAAAAATTAAAAAAAGTCAAAGCCAATATATGATGTAGGAGTCAAAAATGCTCGGAATTTAAATTTCACGTGCTAACCAGTTGTAGTACATCACCAGTCACTGCTGGGTGTATTGTGCAGCTCTGTTAAGTGCATTTATTTATAAGGTTGTAATCTGTGAACAGACTATTTAATATGAATACCTTTTAGTTCCTGTTTGCTCTTATGGACGCTGGAAGTCGGGAGATATCGTCGATTATGTTACTCCAATTCGATATAATTCAGATTATAGGAAAGCTGAACAAGAATATAAATGCTTAGATGGTGAACCTGACGATTTGAGTGATGAAGGCAAAGAAAATGAATACGATAGTAATTCAGAGTCATCTTTGGAAATAGATAATAATTGTGACTTTGAAAATGAGGAGGATTTAGTGCATAATGACAAGTACTTAATTTTTACTACAGGATTTAAAACGTATACTCCCCATCAAATAGGTTAGTATTACTATATTGAGTAAACTTTCCTACTACGACTTATTCAAAAACTTAACTTTTTTTAGAAATGACTCATTTTTGAAAAACATAAATTTTATAGTTTTTCATAAGTGGGGCATTTTAGGCAATTGTCAAAAGGTGAAAATTGTACAAACAAACCTGATAAATAAATTAACACTTTGAACACAATTAAATTGTTCAGGTATTATTGTTTTGCACTTTTTTGCAAAATAATAATAAACTAATAATAAAATGTTACTTAACTAGAGTTTATAAAATGAAACAGTTTTAATATATGTAAATTTTTACTTTGTTCATTTCACCAATTATGAAAAGTGTTTGCTATCAAATTTGACGATCATTTATAAAACTAAATAAAATTTAAAATTAGACGAGTAATCATTGTTAATTATGCCTATCGTTGAAGTTTCCGATTTATAATTGTTTTTAGACAATAACAGTTAAGTTTGTATTCGCTATCATTTATTACAAAAGCATGAGGCCCAAATTGGCTGTTCCTACTACAATATCAGCGGTGTTCAGCCCGCATTAGTGTGCGTTGAAATTCCAGGAGGCAAGCTGTCTATCAAATTGTATTGCTCTATTAAACGATATTAATTTTTGTGACACAATTTAGACACGTGTGTTAACAATAAATTTGGTCCAATTTAATTGTAATGCGCATGGGCCTTCAGTTTGGATGGCAATACACACGTGATCTTAATAGCTCATTTCCTTGCATAAGAATGTAATATGTTATTCCTTATACAGTTTTTGTTTTTCAAATCTATATTTTAAGATAACAATAAAATAATACTAGTACGTCTTTTAGGTTTCAAAAGAATAAGGCCATTTATGTTTCCTAAACGCATTGATCCTGGACCGTCCCTAAAAGAACGTTTGGAGTTACATGAGCGTAAAAAAGAAAAATTAAGATCAGGATCTCCACCAAATGAACCTAATTGGTTAGATTTTGATGCAGTAGCTGATAAATTTGATAAAGTTGATCATTTGATCGATTTGCACGGTCATATAATCGGAATGGGTCTCAGCCCAGATCACAGGTAAANTTTAAATGTCTTTCGGTTAGTGCACCAAATATATTTGGTTTTTTGGAATATAAACCATATATGATCAACTGTATCACCATTCTAAAAAAATAATTTTGTTACAAATAATAAAACATATCATGTTTTTACTTACTTTATTATTATGTAAATATACTAACTCAGAAGATCCATTGTTAGGAGTTGGTATTACTTTAACTACAGTTGCTTTTAAAGGATTCTGTTCCTAAATATAAAACAGAGTAATTGTTAATAAACTCTACAGTAATATACATTCTTAGTAATACAGTGTACAATAAATATGTTAATATATAACATTAGAAAAAAAGAGTAATGAGTATAACAATACTTTCTAAGCTTAAAAACATGAAAAAAGAACATATTATAGCATATAAATGACTTACTTAAAATATCATTAAATACCTTTTTGCAAGTTAATAAACTGCGTATGTGAACAGACCAGTGGCAACCAAGACAGCAGAGAATTTGTAGACATGCAATGATCGCTAGACTTACAAAAGCATCTTCTTGATTCTCCCAAAAATTTAATAATACACACCACCAATATAACCAAAGTATGTAAATAAAAATAAATGGAAAGATATATCCATGAAAAAATGTTTTTCTGCAAGTATAAAGAGTGACAGACTGCACTAAATCGTCCACTTTAGGTGTAACAGTCATTCTTAATTCCCAATCACGACTGTAATTCAGCAGATGTTACTTGCAGTTACTTCAAATTTCAATGTCTTGGTTAGGAACGTTATAAGTATTACAAGTATTCAATAAATTCCTACAACATGAAATGTGTTGCACTATAAAAAGCCAATACTTTACCAGTAGTTACATTAATTTAACCATAAGGTACATTTTCTAAGTCCAAGATATATTTTTCAGAGTACAGAAATCACAGTAAGCTGCATATCTTCTTTTTAATTACCCGCTGACTTTTCACTCACCTGTCACCTTCTGACAAAATTATTATTGGTTAACTGGCGTCTGTAAGGAGCAGAGAAGCAGTCAAAACGAACTTTGCCAAATATGCTCGAGTCATAGAAAAAGTTCTTTATCTGTGGAACTATCAATTAATATACTATGATTAATGTAATAGTCTATGATCATAGCCTACGGTCATATATGGTAATAGCCATAGCTACCCTTTGTAGATCTATTATCTATGGCCAAATAACAGCTATCTATGGCAATAGCACAGTTCAGTTGTAGTTGTCAGTAATATTATTTATTGTTCGTTAATAATTTAATCGTGTATACGAGTGTATACTAAATATAATCAAAACGGAATTTAGACTGCACATAGTACATAATATTTTTATCTGTTACAACTCCATGAACAAAAAAGATAATTTAATGAAACTATGGAACAAGTAGAAAGTATGTGGCCTTACATTCCACAACCGGTTTTATATAATATATTTTCGTACTTAAACTATAAGGATTTAATAAGGGCTGGAGAAGTGTGCCACTTGTGGTATATTGCTAGTCGTGATGATTTTCTTTGGAAGAGAATATTTTTCCAAAATTTTAAAATAGAGCGGTCAGTACCTCCCATAAGTGGTGAGTACTTGGTAATGATGGTTTTAATTAGTATTAATTCATATATATATTAGGTAAAACATGGTTGGAAGAGTTTAAGCGTTTGTGTTATCATATTCCAATTGTGCAAACGGAAACCCTTACTGATCATATGCATCAAGTATTACATGTCAGTTTTTCACATAATGGGAAATATTTTGCTACATGTTCTAAAGATGGGTATATATTGGTAATTTACTATAATTATTTAATAAACAGTATTTGTCAATGCTAACATTTAAGGTATGGAATTCTACATATCCAGCAAGAATTAAGTATTTTAAAGATATGAAAAAGTTTTGTTGGAAATACACACAGTATTCTCAGTTTAATGAATCAGATACATTGTTATTAGTGTCTGGAGTACATTTTGGATCACCTCATAGTACATCTGGAGAAATTGCAGTCTTCAGTTTGCAAGGTAGCAACAAATTTTGTATAGTGTACAATCTCGATACCCTGAACAGTTTGGGACTACTGTCGATTCAGACATACTTGTAAGGTATTTCAGTAAATGTATTTTTTGAAATACATCTTTTTAAGACTTATTTCAAGCCGTATTTCAATTTGATCAAAAAATATTTAAATGATCAATTAAATACATTTAAATGATCAAATAACTACAGCAGTCAATTTAATTTCTTTTGAGTTTTGTGTTTGTATTGTCTTCTAAAAGGATAAAATTGTTTTGCATTCATATTAAAATATGTAATGAAAGGGCCACAATGGTATTTGTTACCAGGATCGATTCAGATAATCACAAGGCCTAGAACAGCCAAGTTTTCATAACAGGCAAATTTTATTTGTAAATGAACATCAGCAATTACAGTTGATAAGGAAAGAGTACACTTTGTGTAGGAAAAAATTGTTAATTATTTGAGTAAAAATGGAATTTGGAAATAAAAAAACTTATTTAGTTAGTAAAAAGAAAAGTATATGTTCACCAGTATTAAAAAAATAAAAATTATGTGTCTTTCATTAGAATACAATATCAAATCAGCCTTTTTCACAATTTTCTGCAAAAATACCGGTAATGTTTGGACTATACATCCTAATGTCATTACTTTTGCCTGGTAGGAGGAGTGGGGGACGCTAGCCAGCCGCTCATATTCAAAATACCGAAGTTATTTTTTTTGGTATAGTTCCGTTAAAGTTATGGTTGGACAGACTTTTTTTTACTGAACTTAGCCCGTTTTTTTGATTCGACCATCATTAGATTGCAATATTCTCATTTGCAAGGAAAAATAGGAATATGAAATACAATGTGAATGAATGCACGTTTAGGTTAATATTATTGGTCACTTGAATTCGCCTGTGTCAGTTTTCTCCATAAATTCACCATATTGTTTAGATCAAGAGCATCGCAAAGGTCTTTTTCGCTTTTTATCATCATTAAGATATCAAGTATCTCCTCTTTAATGATGGACCTGGTCAAATTTTTAACTATTTTCGTTTCCTTGCACAAGATTTTGGTTGCTTTTTCTACAATGAATATATTACTTGAGATATCGTAGTTAGTTTGCATATTAGTGGGAGGACCACGTATTCCGAACCACCTAAACTTTTAAATTTCGAAAAATAAGTGTTCAAGACAGTTGATACTTGCAGGTCTGGTAGTTGTTGATATTACCTGCAAATTGAGTTGATTGTAAAATTGAGGAAGTTACAGATAAAGAACCGACAGCGTTTTTCAATGAAATCATTGAAGTATGTACATTACACTAAACTTTTCGTAGTTCTTACTGACTATCTCTTGGTAGTTGTTATAGATTTAGACGTTATAATAAAATAGAAAAATTATTATTGACAAAGAGGGAATTTTAATTCATCATAAATGCACTGGATTATAATATTTTCTTTATACTTTCGAATACATATAAGCTAGGGTCAGCGTCTGATCCTTCAGCAGGTTGGACCAAAATTAAAAAATTAGTAGGATTTGTTATAATTTTAAAGACTGTTCCTCTCAGTGATACATATTATCATAGCTCAATTTTTCATCTCTTCTTAACGCATTCATTTTTAAGTTCCTAGCGCGCAAGTATTGTAGGTCATATTTGTGTCAATGAATAAGGAAGTGTATCCTCTTACAATTAGCTGCACTTCCGTTGGTCATTGTTTAATAAGAATTTATATTCAGGTTTTTAGTTTTGAAGATTATAATTGTGCTAAAGCTAATTTCCAAAAGTTATTGCTAAGAATGTTGATTAAATGCAAATTAACAATGCTATTTATACTTACTTGATTGAACTCCTATTACGTTGCAGATAATAAGTCAATCTAAGAGTTATTTCTAATTATTAAGAATAGTAAATTGTTCGGATGAACGCGTATTCTAATTATTGAGATTGTACTGCAGTTATATGTAATATGTTAACAATAAAATTTCCATTTTGATAGTATAATTTTTGAAATTTATTTTATAGCTGGCTTTGAGTTGCAATGCCGGGTAGTGAATAAGCCGTATGATATTTTTGGAACATGGTATAGTGATCAACACCTCTTATCAGGCGACTTGCGTTGGTTGGCCCATTTAGTTAGTACGTCTTTCTTGTGGTTAAATAAAGCTTCACAAGAAACAAGTTCCGAGCATGTACNACAAATCCAAAAAGATACCTATTTATTTTCAAACCAAATAACAAAATTTAACACACTATCTCTTAAAAATGTAGAAATGAAAAGAAAAGAACAACTTCATTGGCTCAAAAGTCATAACATAAAACCTATAAGTCATAACATAATCAAAAAGAAAACAAATGCACTTTTCATTACTCTAAAAAAAATCTTAATGATATCCTAATCCTCTCTTAAAACCAACCTCTATTTCCTAAAATTCTATTTTAAATAGCCGTATATTGTTAATCCCTTTTGGGTACGCACTTGCTAAAATGCAAGCGTCTGATGATCAGTTGTTAGATAATAGCTATATGTTATTAGACTCCAGTAGAGCTTATTTTTTGAATAAAATCAATTTATGATTCTATTTTAAGAAGGGTGTGAAACAACAGTATATTACATAACATTGCGCACGAGCGTGAATTTTATCACATGTGTGACAATGTCCTAGCGCATGATTTTTTTTCGGATCTTCGGACATTCTCCAACGTTAGGAGGTTGTTTCATCCCTATAAGTAAGAAGAAACACTATAAAATGAATACTGCCTGCATTGATTTACATAATTCCATACTTTTTTATTCTTAGTATAACATTTATAGAGTTTATCCATTAAAAAAAGGTACATATGAAATTCCTTCTGATATTAACAATTATTGAATCATGTATGTAGTATGTTATTTATCAATCTTCTCTCGTTAAACTTAAAGAGAAATCACTTATATAGTAACCTTGACAATTTGTTGTTTATTTGAAAATTAGTTTTATTTTACTTTAAGGTACCTTTATGTGAATAGCAGACCTTGGCCTCAAGGCTATACAATAAGTAACCCTTTGGAACCACCACCCATAGCTCAAGAAATAGATATCCATGTTATTGATTTGGTTACATTCAAGCAAGTCGGGATAATGCTTCGATCTCACAAAGCCTATACTCCAAATAACGAATGTTTTTTCATATTTCTAGACGTGTGTGATAAATATGTAGCAAGGTAATTTATTTACATAATTTGAAAATTGAAATTTACTTTAACTTTTGCTAAATTAGTTTGAGTTAGGTTTAACTATTATTTATAAACAAACACATTAAATTGAAAGGAATTTGTTTGACTTGCATGGCATTTACAGTACATACATTAAAAATAAAAAAAGCGTATGAACAAACATTTTAATAATTCGTACAAATAATAGAATCAAACAATCAATTTTTTTTATGATCGATTGGCTTTGTTAAAATTGGAAAACTTTGTTGGGATATTTGTTCTTGTTGTAGTTTTCAATAGTTATGTTATTATACAATATGATAATTTTAAAAAAATATTTTTAACATTTTTTGATAAAATTTGGGTAAAATAGTGTTTATGCAGTCATTTTGAAGGATTATTGATCTTTCATGCCTCACTGAGAACTGAAATAAATAAATTGATTTATCCCTAAAGATGCTAAACATGCTTGATAGTGAAATGTTAGACAATAATAATCCTTTATGATGACGACGACGACCTAAACACCCCAAGAGACATATAATAGAAATTTTGAAAATATATTGCTTTAGTGGTGCTGAAGATAACCACGGGTACTTGTGGGATCGTCATTATGGGATGTGTTTGGCAAAATTTCCTCATGCAGATGTTGTTAATTCAGTGGCTTTTAATCCGAAGGATCCCGAAATGCTAGTCACTACATCAGATGATAACACTATAAAGATCTGGAGATCGAAATCAAAAGTTAAGCAGTTTGGATTAAATTATGCTCAGTTTCAGCAGGGTATTGAAACAAGAAGGTATCGTGGTCAAAACGCATCTACAAATCTGCGTGGTAGTTATAATCGAAATACTTAAAAGTATATTTTACAAATATTGTATCTGATCTATTTAAATCAATATTAACCGATACTGAAAAGGAACCTACCTACATTAGTAGTACACACGTGATAAATTGCGATGGAATATCCGTCCTTTACAAAATTGTTGGACAATTTAGACACGTGTGTTAACAATAAATTTGGTCCAATTTAATTGTAATGCGCATGGGCCTTCAGTTTGGATGGCAATACACACGTGATCTTAATAGCTCATTTCCTTGCATAAGAATGTAATATGTTATTCCTTATACAGTTTTTGTTTTTCAAATCTATATTTTAAGATAACAATAAAATAATACTAGTACGTCTTTTAGGTTTCAAAAGAATAAGGCCATTTATGTTTCCTAAACGCATTGATCCTGGACCGTCCCTAAAAGAACGTTTGGAGTTACATGAGCGTAAAAAAGAAAAATTAAGATCAGGATCTCCACCAAATGAACCTAATTGGTTAGATTTTGATGCAGTAGCTGATAAATTTGATAAAGTTGATCATTTGATCGATTTGCACGGTCATATAATCGGAATGGGTCTCAGCCCAGATCACAGGNAAAATAATAAACCACTGCCCAGCACAGTTCTGTACACTGTGCAGGTGACTTGTATTATATTCTTATGATATTGTACTTATTTTTCGTGATTTTAATAAAGTGCTTATTTTTAGTATGCTTTATATCCACATTTAATAAGTTGTAACACGTAAGATTTATCATGCTAGCTCATTAGCTATTTACATTTCTAATCCATAGAGATAATAGAATTAAAGCAGGGAAGCTTATCGGAAATACGTTTTCTTAAAAGAAAGGAACAAAGAATGGTCAATTATACCGACTAATCAGAAGTACTATTAACATATTAAATAAAGAGAGTGTTTTTCATCTCACAGTTCACTTACAACTTACAAGGCAGTACAGGACTTCCCTACTCCAACTGTATTATCTTTATAGGTGTATAAACAAAGAAATTGAGTAACAGCAAAAAATTCAAATTCTGTTACAAACTAGAAAATTCCTACCTATTTTTTAGCAGTTTCTGTAAATTAAACTTCATAAATATATTAATTACTTACAATTGTTTTTTGTAAAATTAACGTAATTTAAAATACAGCTTTTAAAACTTTTTGAAGAAGACAAAAGCATCCGAAATATCTTTTATATGTATATATCTATTGTATATCACAGATCAAAACTTTCATACTGACAAGAAAAAGGAATCATTCTTCGTTTTGTAATAATTTTGCTACAAATTATTTGCTTTACAGGGTATTCCTTAAATCGTTGAAATTCAACTTGATCTTTCAGTTACTTCTTTTTCTCTCACTTAATTTTGAAGCAATAATTTAAACAGTTTGTACTTCATGTGCATTATCTTCTGTTAGTGTTTCTCCAGAAATAAGGTATGGTCGACGGAACATATCGATTCAAAACTCGTTTTTTTTATGGAACATTTTTTTAAAAATATTTACTTAATAGGTACTCTTGATAAAGGCTGAATAAGCCGAAACGTATGTCGATTTTTTATGAAACACTGTTGAAACATTTTTGCAATTTTAGTTTCTTCATTGCTACTAACAATATCTAATTTTGATGAAAATATTTTTCGACATCATGCACTATTTAAAATTTTTAATTAGGTATTGTTATCTCGTTACTACAGCAAGCAAGCCATATTTAACCTTTTAACTCCTATTTCTAGTATTCTTGAACTCACCCTGATCCTCGTAAAGTTAGTTGCCCATATTAATTTTGTCATATTGCCCTTGCAGTCTACTAAAAAAAATGAAGATACTTCTGTTTTTAAAAAAAAATTAAGTTCGAACTTTGATTAAGAATACCCAGACTTATCATTTGACGAAAGAGCAGGTTGTAATTTAGTATTGATGTGGCTAACACCGTCTATCAAGTTAAAGATCACTATATCCTGTATTCATTAAAAAAAAGTGCGGGACGATTGGTTACGTGGCTCACGTGTACCTGACTATTGCACGCCGTAAAAACACATGCAATTTTTTTGAAAATTTTGTGCGAAATTTCGCAATCCTGTACCAAATGAATGTCTATATTTACAGAAACTTAAAAACATAAGTTCATCGTAGCACTGTCCGCGTGACTAAAAGGATAGGGATGTCTTGAATAAAGTTGTTCAGTGGTGAGACTATTTATTATCAAAGGAAACACTACAATTTTATTCCATGTAAATAAATGTAAAAGGTTTTTGACAATATAAAATGCATTTGTTTAATACAAAACAATACAACTTGGTCAGTCACTTATATCTTTTAATTGCTATAAAATTAGTACATACTCATTTACAACTACGGCTTCTCAATTTTTGAAAATTTTGTGACAAAACATGTTTTCAATATTTACATTTTTCGAAATTTAACGAAATTATCTTTTTTACATAATGCGATTATTGTGAATACAATCATACATTGAGTGTATTTTGAAATAGACATTTAAGAGAACATTATTACAGTTAAGTTATTGGATAATACCATACCTATTATACGCCCTATACCATACCTTCAAATGGCATAGGACGTCTGAAATATGACCAAATTACATTAGCTATCACAATCGTTTGGGCTTATTGAAAAAGGTATAACCATAAATATACACATTCATATAAAATTATGATCAATTATTTTAGATAGGCATTAAATATAATCGCTAAAATTATTGATTTAAATTTGAGTCCGGATTTGGGTTGACATTGTCACTAGAATCAACTTTATCATTTACATGGGCGGCATTGCTAGTTACAGCTGCCCTTGGAAGTTCACATGACTCAGCATTGGGGTCACAGTGATGATGAACTTTTTTCTTCTTTTTATCTGTATGTCCTTTACAATGATCACATTCATCATCACTAGAATCACTGGAACTACTCTCACCAAAGACTTTTGGTTTTGTGTAAATACAACAGCCTGTAAAATATATAGGAGATTTAAAAATGTACTTTAACAACTATGTCCACTTACATTTTGATTTCTTTTTGTTTAAATCTTCATTGTCTACAGTTTCTGATGTCCACTTCACTTTTCTATCACTTTTTGGTTTAACCAACCTTAATTTCAGAGTGGGAACTTCATCATTCTGTAACAAAAATATTTAAACACTTCTTCGCCTTAAGATTCGTTTTGTTTTTTCCTGTTAGCTACTTTTTCAAAATTATTTAAACTGCCTCGTTAAAATTTAAGAATATGCTTTATTTAAAAGCATATTTAGCCAAAAATAAAACAAGTGAATTAACTTAACGATCTACNGACTACATTTACTGATTAGATTAAAATTAATGTATATATATTACAATTTAAAGCACAAATATGCTTTTAAGATATAAATGAAAATAGATTATACTGTGTAAAAAAAGCCTTTTGTCTTTTATTTTATTTAGTATAAATTAAGTGAGATACAAACAAAACAGTAAAATATGATTTCAAATTTAATGTAATGCAAGAAAAAAAACTTTAGATTATTTCGGCACTCTCTGTATAAGATACATAATGTGTATTCGAATAGAATTTTTAGTATTTACTGAACAATTTTAGCATTTTTGAGTTTCATAATATGCTCTTTGTCATAGCCTAATATATTACATAAAATTTCATCAGTATGTTCCCCTAAAAGAGGTGGCGGTGAACGAACAAAATTACCTCCATCACTATAATGAACAGGTGGTCCAACTACTTTTACTTTACCAAACACTGGATGGTCAACAACTTTAATTAAGTCAATTTCCTTGACATGAGTATTTTCAAAAGTATCTTTTAAAGAATTTACAGGACCGTTAGGAAAATTTGCATCAGAAAAAATTTGCATCCATTCCTTATTAGTCTTTTTAAGGATAGCACTCCTTAGTACAGCTAATAATTCTTTTCGGTTAATAACTCTGTCGGTGTTCTTCTTAAATTTTGGATTTTCTGCTAACTTAGGCAAGCCAACCTTTGTACAGAGTTTTTGAAACATATCATCTGATCCTGCCCCTATAGTGTAATATCCATCTTTTGTTTTAAATGATTCATATGGAACAATACTTTCATGTGCTGTTCCCCATCGTTTACCTTCAATTCCTGCATTTAAGTAATTTGAACCAATGTTTATTAATGAAGCAATTTGAGTTGATAATAAATCACAATCAATTTTTTGTCCATAGCTTGTTCTGGATCTTTTAATTAAAGCAGCCATAATTGCTCCATGTGCATACAGACCTGTAGCTAGGTCAGTCATGGCCACCCCTACTTTTACAGGATATCCATTTTCTGGTCCAGTAATATGAAGTAAACCACCCATTGATGCCGCAATTACATCATATCCAGGACGATTTTTATACGGCCCTTTTGAACCAAAACCAGTTAAAGAACAGTATATAATATGTGGGACAAATTCCTTTATTTGTTCATAACCTAAATTAAAATCGTCTAATTTGCCCGTTACAAAATTTTCAACAAGTATATCGCTTTTCTTTAATAAATCATGTATTACCTTTTGACCGGATTCTTGTTGAATATTTACGCAAATGCTTTTTTTATTTCTATTTACACTAGCAAAATAACAAGATAAGAATGTGTTATTAACAAAAGGTGGCCCCCAGTTTCTGGATTCATCTCCAGATTTAGGTTTTTCAACTTTTATTATTTCTGCTCCTAAATCTCCTAGTATCATTGTACAAAAAGGGCCGGCTACGATTCTAGTTAAATCTAAAACTCGAATTCCTTGCAATGGAGATTCAGTGTGCATATTTAGGGAGTTTAAATTATAACTTTTAATTTCGTAGATAAATAATCGGTTTCTTTGAAACTTCTTTATGCCTTGTATGATTCCTGACCACATACTAGTAAAAATTTTGAATAAATTATAAAAGCATTGTGTAATACGTAAAAGTAAACATAAATTACCTCCGTGACAGTTTCTTCTACAGTAACCGTTGTTGAAGCTTCAGGTGGACCTATTTGTACTGGATGAGGTTCTCCCATTTTATCAATTGTTACTGAGTAAGTATTTATATTTCTAGAACAACACTCATTTATTAATCTCACTAAAAAGTACACACGATTAGATAAGAAATCACACGTCCCTGTTTCTGATAAATAGAACAAAATATTTTAAAACCGATTTCCCAAGCTACTGTCAAATGTCAAAAATTATCAACGCATCAATGGTTAAAAACTGTCAAAAACAATTACAAAGTTGCTGTGTATGTGTATGCGTACGCACAACACAGATGTATGTAGATAAGGGAATACGTTTTACGATTAGACCATTATTTTAGATTATATTTTGTATTAATTAAGCGGGAAACATTAATCAATTGCATGAGAATCTAATTTTCGGAAAATTTACCACATTTTGCATTTTTATAGACTTAGTTTGAGGTGGTGATTTTAATCAAGTTGGACTAATATGATTTTGGTTGTTAATTAACATTAATTCATTTTTATTTTAATGTCACTTGTTTTATTGGTTTGCGTTAATGAGTTAATAATTGCTTATTCATAATACAGTTTCTATTAAAGAGAACTGTCAGTTTAGCACATTCTTTCGTTTAATGTCAAAGTGATTTATTTTTAAATGGACAGTGGAACAATCTTTGTACCGTTTTTAAATTTAATTTTTGCATCTGAGAGTTGTCATAAAAGACTGAAGGGAAGACGTGGAAATTTTTTCGAATCTCTTGAATAATTGTAAGCATGTAATATAAGTAATAGAAAACTATATCTAGTAAGTAATTTCAAATATTATAATTGGTTTATAGAAATTGATTATATAAATATGTAGGTATACCCGCAACAAATAATTGCATATTAGGTATTTTGTTTGAAACAGTTTTCACATATTTATAAAATATTGACATTGGGTAATAATTCATGGAATTAAAATGTATTTTGCCCGATTTTAAACTAAAAATAGCGCATGCTTTCATTGGATTTTAAAGAACAATTTCATTGTTTCGTTTAACGCAGGCAAAAGTTGCCACCATTAATCATAAAGAGTCAAAGTCCAAAATGCATTGTTTTATCGTGAATATTAATTAATGAATTTCATATAATGCTTGTAGGTGTTACATATACCATACAGGTACGGTATTTTAGCATAAAAATATGCTGTTTTTATTTAGCAATTGATATATATAGGTCCAAGTATTTCCAAGTATTGAATTGGAATAGAAACATTGAAATTATATTTTGCAATGTAACAAATATATTGATAAATTACTATGCTAATATTGTAACTTTACTACAGTAGATTTAAAAGTTCAGTAATACCTAACTAATGAATAATCCCTCTGAAAAAAAGCTGTTAAAATTGAAAAAAGAATAAGCTAATGTATTTTTTAAAATCTTTCAGGTGCACTTTTTTGTTGCTATTCTTTTAAAATTAAATAAGTTGAATTTGAATTTATTTCAAGCGAAGTACATGGAAGTACAGACAGTAACCAAACTATTTTGGGTATAATATACCCTGTATAGGCTAGACACAGGTCACCTATACGCACGTCTGGTTAATTAAATTGTGTGTTATATTTTTTCAGTAAATACTGATTTTAATAATCATCATCATCATAAGGTCATCAGTCCTAAGACTGGTTGGACACGTACCTTCACTCTTTCCTAGTCTGAACTGAACTTCGCATTTCCCTAAAACTAGAACAACCCACATCCTTAACTATTTGCGAACAGTAATCTAACCTAGGTCTACCTCTACCCCTCTTAACTCCTGTTTCTGCCTCTAATATGTCTCTGATTAGATCATCATGTCTGAGAAGGTGTCCTACCAACCTATCTCGCCTATTTTTTATTGACTTCCATAGAGCCCTCTGTTCTATTCTTTCTAATACCTCTTCATTTCTAACTTTTTCTACCCAGGTTATCGTCATCATTTGCCTATAACACCACATTTTGAAAGCTTTTAACCTTTTCTTTTCCGCCGCGCCCACTGTCCATGTTTCGCACCCGTAAAGCGCCGAGCTTCAAACATACACCTTTAAAAACCTTTTTCGAATTTCTAAATTAACTGTTTGCGAGCATAGAAGTGACTTCTTTGCCCCTGTAAACCTACCCCTACAGTTGTACTGTTTTTAAAGATGTTAATCGCGTCTTCGATGTATAGATTAACAAGTAGTTTTGACAGTGTGCATCCCTGTCTGACTCCCTTCCTAATTTTTACTTCCCTACGTTGCAGCCCTAGCTTTATAACTGCCTGTTGTTCTTTATACAAACTAAGTATCACTTTTCTATCTTTGTAACTCATCCCTACATTTTTAAGTATATTTAACATCTTGTCCCATTTAACATTGTCAAAAGCTTTTTCTAAATCTACAAATCCTATGTATGCCTTCTTTCTTTTTTCTATCGTTTTCTCTATTGCTACCCGTAAAGCTAGAATAGCCTCTCTCGTTCCTCTATTTTTTCTAAACCCAAATTGATGTTCCCCTAATAGTTCTTCCGCCCTTTTTTCCATCCTCCTCTGTACAATTCTAGTTAAGATTTATATATTTTTTATATTTGAGTTAATTAAACTGTACCCTTCTTTTAGGCTATTGAATAGAGATTTTAGTATGGAACAATTGCATTAAAGGGGTTTTATGATTGAATATGGTGGTTTGATCTCTTAAGTTGATTAAACTACAGTGTCCCTTTTTTATGAGGTGCATTTTTGAGTAATATTAAAAAAGTCACCCCTTTCGGCTTTCTCCAAATAACTCAAAAACGAAGCAATTTTTGAGATTTTTACAGGAGCACTCTTTTCTTTCAAAAAAATCACATTTTGTTTTTTTTTTTATTTAATCATCGGTAACTTTTTTCCTGGGCAATTTAGCTAAATATAAATGTTTAGAGAAGAGGTAGCCCTTGAAAAAATACACCTTTTTCTATTTTATTCTCTTTATACGATGAAAATTCAGCAAGATATCGATGCTCAAGGTTGCCTACTTTTTGTCATATTCTACCCTGTTTAATCGCAAATGTTTTTTTTTTTATTTTTTGATGTAGGTAATTGTGCTTAAAAGTTAGAGAAACGATTTAAAAAAATACTTATTTTATTAAAAAGCGTTTATAACTATTATTCAGAGCTACCTAAATCAAGTTCTAATAGTAACTAAACTCAAACAGCAGTTATTAAACAAAAAGTAACGATAAAGTGCTTAACGCTAAATTTCGAAGAAATCGTTCATGGGAAAAATGCACACAAAGTATATTTATCACAGGTGTGCGCATGTGCACCTGACTTAAGTGAGCACGTCCTCGTGTGAAGTTCTGTTGGGCATTCTTGGAATGATTATTATTTGTTATATTAGTCTGTCTTCACATTCAAACATATTTCCAATTCGTTTGCTCAGTACACAACAAATACTACACAATACAAATATTAATACAATAACGACAATATTTATCGAAAAAACAAATTTGTATATAATGGAGTTCAATTCAAATTGATTGTTTAAATCTTCAGCCTCTTGCTTTAGCTTATTTATATCATCAAAATTATTTAAAGAAATCATATTTCGTGCGTTTTACATCTGCCTTTCTAACATTTGAAGGTTTATAATAAAGATTATTAATTCTATTGCTAAATACATTATTTTGAATCATAATTTCACAATTTTCACTTCACAAGTACAATGTTCGAAAATTTTGACATTCTTGGTCTTCGCTCTCTTATTCGAAAGGTTGAAAGGTTTTCCTGATAGTTCCTCAAATATAAAATTAGGTTTTGACTGCCTTTNATATATTTTTTATATTTGAGTTAATTAAACTGTACCCTTCTTTTAGGCTATTGAATAGAGATTTTAGTATGGAACAATTGCATTAAAGGGGTTTTATGATTGAATATGGTGGTTTGATCTCTTAAGTTGATTAAACTACAGTGTCCCTTTTTTATGGAGTGCATTTTTGAGTAATATTAAAAAAGTCACCCCTTTCGGCTTTCTCCAAATAACTCAAAAACGAAGCAATTTTTGAGATTTTTACAGGAGCACTCTTTTCTTTCAAAAAAATCACATTTTGTTTTTTTTTTTATTTAATCATCGGTAACTTTTTTCCTGGGCAATTTAGCTAAATATAAATGTTTAGAGAAGAGGTAGCCCTTGAAAAAATACACCTTTTTCTATTTTATTCTCTTTATACGATGAAAATTCAGCAAGATATCGATGCTCAAGGTTGCCTACTTTTTGTCATATTCTACCCTGTTTAATCGCAAATGTTTTTTTTTTTATTTTTTGATGTAGGTAATTGTGCTTAAAAGTTAGAGAAACGATTTAAAAAAATACTTATTTTATTAAAAAGCGTTTATAACTATTATTCAGAGCTACCTAAATCAAGTTCTAATAGTAACTAAACTCAAACAGCAGTTATTAAACAAAAAGTAACGATAAAGTGCTTAACGCTAAATTTCGAAGAAATCGTTCATGGGAAAAATGCACACAAAGTATATTTATCACAGGTGTGCGCATGTGCACCTGACTTAAGTGAGCACGTCCTCGTGTGAAGTTCTGTTGGGCATTCTTGGAATGATTATTATTTGTTATATTAGTCTGTCTTCACATTCAAACATATTTCCAATTCGTTTGCTCAGTACACAACAAATACTACACAATACAAATATTAATACAATAACGACAATATTTATCGAAAAAACAAATTTGTATATAATGGAGTTCAATTCAAATTGATTGTTTAAATCTTCAGCCTCTTGCTTTAGCTTATTTATATCATCAAAATTATTTAAACTGCCTCGTTAAAATTTAAGAATATGCTTTATTTAAAAGCATATTTAGCCAAAAATAAAACAAGTGAATTAACTTAACGATCTACACACCTATAAAACTTTTGCTTTGTTTTCTATTGTTAATTTATATACATTTATGTTTTAAGAAATTGCTGAACATTTTCGTCTAGTACTGTACAGTTCTAGCCGATCTCCTAAGACCGCCCATCGAGAGCTCTGCTCGTTGATGCTTGTTCCAACTAGTTTTGTCTTGCTCACGCCTAGTGTGTATTCTTTCTATCTTCGCGTAGATTTCTTCAAGGTCACAATTCAAACAAATTGAAATGGGCTGTACATGATCTATACCAGGGGTGGCCAAGCCCCTCGATAGTCTTAGTCATTTTTCAAAATTTAAAATTTTTGGTGAGCCGCAATTAAATACGTNGCATTAGTGTGCGTTGAAATTCCAGGAGGCAAGCTGTCTATCAAATTGTATTGCTCTATTAAACGATATTAATTTTTGTGACACAATTTAGACACGTGTGTTAACAATAAATTTGGTCCAATTTAATTGTAATGCGCATGGGCCTTCAGTTTGGATGGCAATACACACGTGATCTTAATAGCTCATTTCCTTGCATAAGAATGTAATATGTTATTCCTTATACAGTTTTTGTTTTTCAAATCTATATTTTAAGATAACAATAAAATAATACTAGTACGTCTTTTAGGTTTCAAAAGAATAAGGCCATTTATGTTTCCTAAACGCATTGATCCTGGACCGTCCCTAAAAGAACGTTTGGAGTTACATGAGCGTAAAAAAGAAAAATTAAGATCAGGATCTCCACCAAATGAACCTAATTGGTTAGATTTTGATGCAGTAGCTGATAAATTTGATAAAGTTGATCATTTGATCGATTTGCACGGTCATATAATCGGAATGGGTCTCAGCCCAGATCACAGGTAAAATACTGAGTAAAATTACATTTTTGTAAAATAAAAAAAGAAACGCAAACAAAAGAAGAAAATTTTCTCATACATTATTGTGGCATTAAGAGCCATGCTCGAATAATACTTTTGTTTTTCCTTAACCGTCATTGCTCATATAGAATCATTGATCTACATAGTTCCGTGTCTATTTGGCATATAACCCTTTAATGATTACTTGATAAACTAGTGGAAACTCGAATTGCTACAAACAGCGTGGTAAACGCCATTTATTTAATTCATTTTTTACATAAAAAAATACAACGTACATATTCTTAAACATTTTTCCTATAAGACTCCAGGATTATAATACGTAAAGCAAAACAATAAATTCTCTTTTTATATTAAAAACAAATCCAAAAAGATACCTATTTATTTTCAAACCAAATAACAAAATTTAACACACTATCTCTTAAAAATGTAGAAATGAAAAGAAAAGAACAACTTCATTGGCTCAAAAGTCATAACATAAAACCTATAAGTCATAACATAATCAAAAAGAAAACAAATGCACTTTTCATTACTCTAAAAAAAATCTTAATGATATCCTAATCCTCTCTTAAAACCAACCTCTATTTCCTAAAATTCTATTTTAAATAGCCGTATATTGTTAATCCCTTTTGGGTACGCACTTGCTAAAATGCAAGCGTCTGATGATCAGTTGTTAGATAATAGCTATATGTTATTAGACTCCAGTAGAGCTTATTTTTTGAATAAAATCAATTTATGATTCTATTTTAAGAAGGGTGTGAAACAACAGTATATTACATAACATTGCGCACGAGCGTGAATTTTATCACATGTGTGACAATGTCCTAGCGCATGATTTTTTTTCGGATCTTCGGACATTCTCCAACGTTAGGAGGTTGTTTCATCCCTATAAGTAAGAAGAAACACTATAAAATGAATACTGCCTGCATTGATTTACATAATTCCATACTTTTTTATTCTTAGTATAACATTTATAGAGTTTATCCATTAAAAAAAGGTACATATGAAATTCCTTCTGATATTAACAATTATTGAATCATGTATGTAGTATGTTATTTATCAATCTTCTCTCGTTAAACTTAAAGAGAAATCACTTATATAGTAACCTTGACAATTTGTTGTTTATTTGAAAATTAGTTTTATTTTACTTTAAGGTACCTTTATGTGAATAGCAGACCTTGGCCTCAAGGCTATACAATAAGTAACCCTTTGGAACCACCACCCATAGCTCAAGAAATAGATATCCATGTTATTGATTTGGTTACATTCAAGCAAGTCGGGATAATGCTTCGATCTCACAAAGCCTATACTCCAAATAACGAATGTTTTTTCATATTTCTAGACGTGTGTGATAAATATGTAGCAAGGTAATTTATTTACATAATTTGAAAATTGAAATTTACTTTAACTTTTGCTAAATTAGTTTGAGTTAGGTTTAACTATTATTTATAAACAAACACATTAAATTGAAAGGAATTTGTTTGACTTGCATGGCATTTACAGTACATACATTAAAAATAAAAAAAGCGTATGAACAAACATTTTAATAATTCGTACAAATAATAGAATCAAACAATCAATTTTTTTTATGATCGATTGGCTTTGTTAAAATTGGAAAACTTTGTTGGGATATTTGTTCTTGTTGTAGTTTTCAATAGTTATGTTATTATACAATATGATAATTTTAAAAAAATATTTTTAACATTTTTTGATAAAATTTGGGTAAAATAGTGTTTATGCAGTCATTTTGAAGGATTATTGATCTTTCATGCCTCACTGAGAACTGAAATAAATAAATTGATTTATCCCTAAAGATGCTAAACATGCTTGATAGTGAAATGTTAGACAATAATAATCCTTTATGATGACGACGACGACCTAAACACCCCAAGAGACATATAATAGAAATTTTGAAAATATATTGCTTTAGTGGTGCTGAAGATAACCACGGGTACTTGTGGGATCGTCATTATGGGATGTGTTTGGCAAAATTTCCTCATGCAGATGTTGTTAATTCAGTGGCTTTTAATCCGAAGGATCCCGAAATGCTAGTCACTACATCAGATGATAACACTATAAAGATCTGGAGATCGAAATCAAAAGTTAAGCAGTTTGGATTAAATTATGCTCAGTTTCAGCAGGGTATTGAAACAAGAAGGTATCGTGGTCAAAACGCATCTACAAATCTGCGTGGTAGTTATAATCGAAATACTTAAAAGTATATTTTACAAATATTGTATCTGATCTATTTAAATCAATATTAACCGATACTGAAAAGGAACCTACCTACATTAGTAGTACACACGTGATAAATTGCGATGGAATATCCGTCCTTTACAAAATTGTTGGATTGTTATACACAAAAATAACTGTTAAATATGATTATTGATATTTGTTAATACAATACAAATAATTATATATATACATATATATATCTTGCACCATTTAAATGTAAATCTTGTAATGATCAAAAATTTTGTACGAAAAATAATGAAATTATTTAAACTAGTCAATTTGGATTAAAAAATTATCAGTACTTATATTACTAAAATCATAGAAGTAACAGAATTAGAATAAGCAAGCCCATTGGAAATGTGTTTCATAGTAGAAACAAACTAAAGACTTTATAGAGATAAAAAAATAGTGAAGATTACCAACATTTGTTTTTGTTATATGTTTTGTTGTTTAAAGATAAAGTTGCACTATTTTTGATCTTGCACATTACCGGCTGCATGGGGTTTGCCTGCTCTAACTGTATCATCTCTATGATTAAAACACTTTTTAGTAACCACCTACAAAAATAATAAACCACTGCCCAGCACAGTTCTGTACACTGTGCAGGTGACTTGTATTATATTCTTATGATATTGTACTTATTTTTCGTGATTTTAATAAAGTGCTTATTTTTAGTATGCTTTATATCCACATTTAATAAGTTGTAACACGTAAGATTTATCATGCTAGCTCATTAGCTATTTACATTTCTAATCCATAGAGATAATAGAATTAAAGCAGGGAAGCTTATCGGAAATACGTTTTCTTAAAAGAAAGGAACAAAGAATGGTCAATTATACCGACTAATCAGAAGTACTATTAACATATTAAATAAAGAGAGTGTTTTTCATCTCACAGTTCACTTACAACTTACAAGGCAGTACAGGACTTCCCTACTCCAACTGTATTATCTTTATAGGTGTATAAACAAAGAAATTGAGTAACAGCAAAAAATTCAAATTCTGTTACAAACTAGAAAATTCCTACCTATTTTTTAGCAGTTTCTGTAAATTAAACTTCATAAATATATTAATTACTTACAATTGTTTTTTGTAAAATTAACGTAATTTAAAATACAGCTTTTAAAACTTTTTGAAGAAGACAAAAGCATCGTGTGTTAACAATAAATTTGGTCCAATTTAATTGTAATGCGCATGGGCCTTCAGTTTGGATGGCAATACACACGTGATCTTAATAGCTCATTTCCTTGCATAAGAATGTAATATGTTATTCCTTATACAGTTTTTGTTTTTCAAATCTATATTTTAAGATAACAATAAAATAATACTAGTACGTCTTTTAGGTTTCAAAAGAATAAGGCCATTTATGTTTCCTAAACGCATTGATCCTGGACCGTCCCTAAAAGAACGTTTGGAGTTACATGAGCGTAAAAAAGAAAAATTAAGATCAGGATCTCCACCAAATGAACCTAATTGGTTAGATTTTGATGCAGTAGCTGATAAATTTGATAAAGTTGATCATTTGATCGATTTGCACGGTCATATAATCGGAATGGGTCTCAGCCCAGATCACAGGTAAAATACTGAGTAAAATTACATTTTTGTAAAATAAAAAAAGAAACGCAAACAAAAGAAGAAAATTTTCTCATACATTATTGTGGCATTAAGAGCCATGCTCGAATAATACTTTTGTTTTTCCTTAACCGTCATTGCTCATATAGAATCATTGATCTACATAGTTCCGTGTCTATTTGGCATATAACCCTTTAATGATTACTTGATAAACTAGTGGAAACTCGAATTGCTACAAACAGCGTGGTAAACGCCATTTATTTAATTCATTTTTTACATAAAAAAATACAACGTACATATTCTTAAACATTTTTCCTATAAGACTCCAGGATTATAATACGTAAAGCAAAACAATAAATTCTCTTTTTATATTAAAAACAAATCCAAAAAGATACCTATTTATTTTCAAACCAAATAACAAAATTTAACACACTATCTCTTAAAAATGTAGAAATGAAAAGAAAAGAACAACTTCATTGGCTCAAAAG